GAAGAATCTAACACCAGCATGCTTCGGTTCAGCAAAGGCTTCCTGAAAACATCATGGCTGCTTTAAATAGACTTGGCTGAAAAATTAAACATGGTAGAGGACAGACAAAATTAAGTTATGAAAAGAGGACAAGGTCAAAGAAAGAAGGATAAACGTGAGGAGGCAATAGTGAGATTTCCAGGATTTATTTGAGTCTTGTACTCAAGTGAGTTGCACGTTAAGCATGTAAGGCAATGTCATCCTTTAAAATGATTTATTCCTTCCAATTTTTTTATATTTGAAACTGAATGCTTTTTCTAGCTGTGGGATGTCTGTCAAGGTGGTATAGGATATATTTTGGAAAGCCGAGTGTCAGGTAAACAGACGTTTAATGCAAGACTGAAATATTCAGATTTTGGGAACCTCAAGGTCCTGCATTCACTTCTTATGCAAACATTCTAGTTCTATAGGCATTGCTGGTATAAACCTTTTAATTGCATATTTTAATTAAAACTCTGTATTAAAGATCCAGTGGTGCAAGTGAGTTTAGAAGCCTTGACGTTATGTTACTAGTTGTCAGTTGAGCCGCCCACAAATAATATTTTTGATTCATCTGGTCTTTCTGTTGATGTCTTTGGGCTTGATCTCTAAATGATTTGCATGTATTAAAACAAACCTTTGGACACGCAAAGCAGAGTTTCCTTTTGCATGTCTTTATTAATATGAATATATAATTTTCTAATGACACAGCCATGCAAATGTAAATACTTACTGTAGCACTGGCAAAGCGAATGGTCATATCTCAAAGTAACTGTGAGTTTTTTGTTGCTTTATTTAGTATGTGTGAAAGTAAGAAAGCTCACGTGCAAACGTTTGTGGTCACTGTGGTCACTAAGGAGGCATTGCTATAGTCATAGTAGGCAGAGAGTATTTGAACTGTCAAAAATACAATAGTACTACCTCTAACATTATTTATTATATCATATCATATCATACCATACTATACTATTATTAGTACAAGTTAATAGTATAATATTCTTACAAGATTTCTGCACAGGGCAAATAAATGCAGAGGGAGTCAAACAATCTTCATGGAATTAAACCAAAATTAAAAACACCACGGCTGAACTTAAATATTGAGAGAAAAACAGAAAATACCAATTATGGCAAATGGCCCTTACTTATATAGTATTGTACTTATATAGCGGCCTGTACTTATATAGCTTATAAAGTGCTTTACACTACACTCAGTCATTCACCCTTTCACAACCACCATCATTAGGCAATGCAGGTGAAGTGTCCTAAAAAGACAAAGACACTAAAAGTCGGAGCTGGGGCTTAAACTGACAACCCTTCGGTTGCATGGCAAACTCCTTCATCTGATTTCTTCAAGCTTTATTTTGCCATTCATTGTTTACTTATCTTCAGATTATGTTTCCCATGGCATCATAGTTATCATAAGTTATCTTCAGTTCCTTCTCCAATCCTCTAGTTTCCTCTTGGTCATTCTGTATTTTCTAGTCAGTCTTATTCCCTTGAAGTTTAATTTGAGTTCTTTCTTAGTTATATTTAAATCCTTTTGTATCTATTGGTTACTCTCTATTGCCTCTGTCCTAACCGCTTAGCTCCCTTCTATCCATACCTGCCCCCAATTAGTTGATTGCTCCATTCATTGTTCTGTTTGGCATATACACTTCTTCTCGTTACTGTTTGTTGGATTCTCTTCATCCCCTCCTGAAGTGCTGTTACCCTCTTTTCTGGTTCCTGCGTTCCCTAGTTTGTTATTTCTGGATTTATGCACCAGTTGGCACCACCAATTAATTCTGCAGGAAATCATCTCAGCCTCTGTCTTTGCATTTGTGTCCTCTACAAACCTCCACTCACCCTGACAGCTGGGCATTTCAAACTACTAATTATTTCATTTAGCTTTAGAAAAGCTTCAATTCCATCTCAACATTTGAAAATGATAGAAAAGGTCATAAGAAAATACATAACTGTATAATGCATAGTGAAAGTTATCAACAAATACAGGAGTTTTTCGTCATGAAATGCAGCTGACTGAAGTTTGACTTCAAACACATGTTCTTCAAAACCATGTACTCTCTTTATTTTTTACTTAGTTTTATTGATCTTTGTGACTGCCTCAGCTGACACTCAGCAGACTGTCTGTCCATCTAACAGTCCTGCAGAGCTTCATTGCGTATGCCTTCGATTTCTCAGCATAATACCTGCCGTTTTCCAAGAGCCTGCAATGCTTTTCTGTCCGCTTCCCATTAGCATGTCTTTCTAATGCTGGTTGTCATGGCCGCGATTGTGCCAGCAGACAAAGGACAGGTTGATGAGGACTTTAGCATTTTCTAGATGCTATGAAAAGTGAGTTCAAACAAACACTTAATCCTGAGTGCCGGTGAACATAACAGAGTGTAAAGAAACAAAACAAAACAAAAACCTGAACATACCCCATCCCTCTCTTTATATGTATATATGACATCCAGTGTGGCAGAATTTTAACATTGCTGATCTCAGCACAACAGCACTATTCAAACTACACATGATGCAAAATGATTAATCAAATTGTCTTCATTGTCTCTTGTTCAGATCTACATTTTTTTTTTAATTCCAAGATAAATAACATGTGACTGTGGCTTTTGAAAATGACAACAAAGAGGGACTTAATTAATTAACCAAGAGATCTCAATATGTTACATGGACTAACTTTATATATAGCTTTCCAATTCATTCAAAACAACTTAACACTAGAGCCAAATTTACTTAAATTCTCTCAGATCCATTTTTAGGCTGATTAGATTGTGAGTTTAGGTCAAGTATTTGGCCAGGGCCATATTAAACCAACAGCTCTCTGATAGCAAGATTACCTCTCTTCACATTATGCCACTACTACTCCAGCTGTTTATTGAATGTTAATGAATGGATTTAGCTAAAGACCACTATAACTGGTATTGTAAGCTTTGGTAAGTAAGGATTGATGCCCGAAACATATGGAGATAGAACAAGATGGCACAATTCTAAGCAGTTCATGTCATTTGCATTAATGTAAGATTACGAGAGTGTCATGATCTTGGCACTGATGACTGGCTTAATTACTCATTCCATATCACCTGCTCCAGTGTTTATTTAACCAGCATGCTTCCAGACATCAGTGCCATATTATTTAAGCATTTGGTGAGAATTTTCTGAGTGTTTTTGTTTGCCTGATCCTGACCTGTTTAGCTTTTGGACATCTGAGCCTGTCTGTTCCCATTCTGATCTGTTTGCCTGACATGACTTCAGACTCCTCCTGGATTTTGCTCTTTGACCGAACCTGGATCAGCTTTCTCATACCAACCTGGATTACCCTTCGTTACCTCTTCTGATTTCTTAGTGTGGTACTTGTGAAGCTCAGTGTTAGGAATCCAGTTTGTGTGGTCTGTTTGTGTTTTCCTTTTCTCCACCACGAGTGGGTTGCCTGTCCTCTTTGGGCCTCCCTGCACACCTGCGGCTCATTGGACCATTATCTGGAGGAGCATTTGAGCAGTGGGCTGTCACTACCTCGATGCCAGAGTTTTTTGCCAGTTTTGGGAAGACTTCCTGTTTTACTGGATACCTGGTCCTTCTCCCCCTGGAAGGAAAAAAGCTGAGATCTCACGAAGCAGGGGGAAACCTAACCTGACTAAGCCAGATGGATTTGCTCCACATATCCATCTGGAAACCTTCCGTTGCAGTAATTTTGGGAAGGGGCGAAAATACTGGTTAGCTGATTGGCCTATGTTGGTGATAGACGGGCCAAATAAACCAATCAGATCAACGAAGCATACGTACTAACAGACCGACGATGAAAACACAACCACAAGCCAGGCTACTCTTGCCGAAACCAGTCGGGAGAAGAGCAAAAACATATTTTCCTCAGAGAAAAGCCACCAGAGCAGTGTTTTGCTCTTCTTTCAGTGAAGAATAAAACTTGCTCGATAGCCAACGTTAGTCTCATCGGCTGAAGCCGCCATGTTCTTTAGACTGAACTGTCGTGCTTCTCGTTGCGTCACACCTCAACCTGCCTCAAAGCCAACGGCTCCAAATTTTCATCAACATAGAGTATCCAGACTGATTAGCAAGTGAAATCTTGAAAGCTCGCAAGATCAGGATGGTCTCACGAGGCTAGGGGACACCTTCACATGATCCGTTCAAGTTCCCATTGGAAATCTGAGTGTCAGTCCTCTCCATTACTGCTCCGGGTCCAACTTTTGTCTACTTGTCCGCTCTCCAACGTGTTCACTATTCTCTGGACTTAATCCACACAGACTGGATTCGATGATTGACAGGTTCCCCCCAAACTTCCGGTTCATTAGTTCACTGAGTTCCAGATCCTACCCCTGTCCTCATTACAACTAATAAACCTGTTGAACTTTTCTCAGTGTATCTCTGAGTGGTTTCTCTGCATTTGGCTCAGATTCCGTTAACTGATCATGACACTCACCAAAATTCTTAAATAGATTTTGCTTGAAATCCTCTCAAGAATGCCGTTGCCTCTTTGGCAGGTGCACCTCTTCCAAACCTACTTTTTTTTCCTTCTGATCTACTTTCTATGAATGTCTTATACTGTTTGTTAATATATTGCTTCTTATCTCTAGGCCACATTAGTCCAACGTTAAGAAACAATTAATTAAAACATTTTTAAGGTACATGTGATTAATCTCCATATGAGTTTCGCTGTTTCAAATGAGGGACAAAAAAATGTTAAGGTTTTTTTCCTGCAATTTCTTTAGACAACCATGTGAGATATGTTTTTTTCCCCTTGGGAAAAAGTCTAAACTCTTTATAGGTTTATTTTTATTGCTTTCTCCTCCCTTGACATGATCTATGTTTGTTGGCATGCATCATAAAGTAACGCAATGATTGTCCTGCAGCTGTAACAACACACACTGCTGTGTTTCGGTGTGAAACGTGACTCATCTCAGGGTTTTCCTGCCTTTTTTGCATTGTAATATCCGGGGGCAGGTCCACAGTGTGGAGTGGGAGGGTCTGCTCTCCTTCCCAGCAGGAAAGACGCTGGAGCAGAAACAGTTTGGCAGAGCGCACACTGCAGCAGAGGAGAGCTCGGCTTCCACACACCGAGGATTATGTCCGCTTCCTGGGGACGCTGCAACCAGCTGATGTCTATCCACCGCCTCTGCTTCAGCCCAGCGGTCACTCATCGCCCTATTTACCCCATGCTCTGCTGAAATACCTCTACTACAGACTGCTGTTTCAACTCCATCTCTATCCTCCGCCTCCTCTCCTCCAGCGTCCCAAAGCCAGGATGGAAAAGACGCTCTGCAGTCCCGGGACCAACAGGACCAACTCCTCCTCGTCGTCACCCAAGAAGCCCGCAAGTCGGAGCGGTTCGCATAGCCCATTATCCGGATCTCTGGGAGGCTCGTTTGGAGCTGGAGGCGGCCGGGGGACGTTGCAGGGCAGCGGGGGGAATCTGCAGCAGCAGCAGCTTCATGCGCGCAGGAGGCAGCTGGAAGGAGTGCTGAGCAAATACACCAACCTGATCCAAGGCTGGCAGAACAGGTAGGCGCACAGGTGGAGCAGTGGGCGGCAGTGGACACATCACGATCACTGTGGATTCATACTTCGTGTTTTTATTTGCTCCGTCCACGTTGCACTTTTGTGCATCACGTCACTGTGACGTGGAGTAGGAGCCGAAACTTTAAGGCCCAGGCCTTTTTTTTTTTTTTTACACATGTATTTCTGCACAACTATGACATCATTCTGAAGTTTTAAAAGTCACATTTTCATTGGTGGAATAACAAATCCAACAAACAGGCTTATTGGTTAAGTTTTCTATATGGTAAATAGTCTGCATTTAATTTTATTAAGGATAAAATTAGACAAAGCAAAGTAAAAAAAAATCTATAGGAAAGCCCCAAAAAGTTTGTTTGTTGTCACTTGATGTTCTGTTCTTTCTGTCTAGTGAGGAGTGAGACTTGCGTTAAAAAGTTTCACTAATTGCCTTTTATTTCAGAAAAACATTCTAATTTTTTTACTCATATTTTCATTTGCTTCAGCATATAACATTTGTAAAAAAAAATGCTTTGTTTATATAAAGTTCCATAGTCTTGAATTTCACTTGTGAAAATAGGCATTAGTGATCTCTAATATCTTAATACAATCTAAACTGTTTTGAAATAGCTGTTGAGCTTGTGGGTAATCGTACAGAGTGACCTTGAGCAAAATTATAAATACCAGGATCTGCAAAGGTTATCACGAGAACGCAACAAGATTGCACTTTTCAACCTCACAATACATGCTAAAATGGGAAGGCAACTGGACTTTGCCTCAGTTTTTTCCTGAAACCTATCCAGGAGTCTCTGTCTATTCTGTCAGCTCTCAACGGAGTAAACAGCAATTGGAGCAGTGATGTTTTTAAGCAGCATGACAGTCCAAGTCATGCAAATCAAATAGCAATCCTCGTTATTCTGGATTCTTGGAGTCCGCCCCCCCCCCCCACAGTTCTTCCACTGCTATCTGCAATATGAGACCTCATAAGGATCTACTTAACCCCCCGCCACCATGAACGTTGGATATTTCTGTACTTTCACCATCTCTTTAAATTGTACTGCTGATTAGTCTACACAATTAGTTTTTTATAAGCTTATGATAGCAGTATGAGAGGGTGTAGGTGACAGGGTCTGTGCAGAGTTATACACACCTGCAAGTTAAGTTTTTTTCCATGACTAATTATAAACCTTGTTGGCCCTTGCTCAGGGTTTTTTTTCTCCTAGCCTGGTACAGCTAGACTGATTTACATGGAGCGTAATTCACTCTGGTTAAGCCGGGTATGCACTATGCGAGTTATAATTTCTTTTGCTCGGTTGTGCAAAACAAATTTGGGCTAACTTTCCGCCTGATCGTGCGTCGTGTAGTGTACATGGGGTAATGAGGGGCGATTAGCCTCTATCAAACAGCTCCCGATCAGGAATCTTAAGGTCGGGAGAAAATCAAACAAGTTTGAAATTCATTCGGCCATCAGTGTGAGAACATACATCGTGAGCTGTGAATGTAATCTTAAGCCTCAGCTGAGTCGTATAGATCCAGTGTATTCTCATTATTAGTTTGTATGAAATCATACGAAAAGTTATGCACCGTAATTTCGTACGTTTTAGACGTTTTTTTCGTCGCATTTCGTCGTATTTTTACGTCTTGCCTCAAGACAAGATATCCTTGCGCATGCGCATCTTACGCACCATTAAATAACATAGAATTTAACATACAATTAACCCTAACCCTGACCCTAACCCTAACCCTAAGATACAAAACAGCAAGCAATTTAGTTAGAGACCTGAAGAAGTGATTATTGCACTGTTTTTCCCAGTTTTACGTCCGTCCGCGGATCTGCTTTTTTCGTCTGTCTGCCTGCGCATGGGCACTGATCTGTATTTTCGAGGAAAAACGTCCAAAACGTACGAAATACTGTGCATAACTTTTTGTACGATTTCATATGAACTGATAATGAGAATATGTCGCCAGATCTGGCTGGACCAATCACAGCTTGGCATAAGGTACTTTGTGATGCATCACTCTCGACAAATTTTTGCTTTTCTACTAGCATGAGAGCAATATGGCGAGTTTGTTTCTACAACACAGCAATGTTGCAATGAAAGTAACTCACTAGAGAGCACACCTTATATCCTCAGATTGCTTCGGCAAAAGCAGCAGAAATTGTTCACTGAAGAGTTTCTTTAGTGGCTTGTCATGTTTCAATCATAATATTTTGAAAATGGAGTGCATTGCTTGGAGTTTTTGCGTCACATCCGTAGTTATCTAATTGGTACTTACCTGATGAGGCGGTTCGCCTTTGAAGTGGTGCTCTACCAGCTTTTTGCCAGACCCAACAAAACCTATTTTAATTAATTTATAATGTTTTTTTCTTTACAATATTCATCCCCACTGCGCCATTGAGCCACTCTGTCAGGTAAAAAATTACCTGCAGGCCATGAATAAATATATACATATTGAGAGAAATCAAAAACTTTGTTTTGGGTCCTTTTTACATGTATTTAGTTCAGGTTAGATCAAACTTGACGTCTCAAAATCCTAAAAGAATGATTTACATAACCAAATCAATAATTTTATCTAGTTTAGAGTGAAAACCATTAGTTTGAATGAACAGTTACATGTTACACTTTTTTCAGTGCATGTTCATGCACACGTAGCAATAAGAATACTGATTATGGGATTTTTGTTGCCATTATCTTCCACTTCTCTTTCCCCAAGGGTTACGGTACTAATGGTGTTGGTTAAAGAAAGAAAACAGTAGAGACAGAAAGCATAAAGGTATAGTTTATTTCTTGTTTGTTTCTGTTTTTCCCAAAAGCACCCACCTAGTCCCACAGCTCCACCACAGGGCACCCAGTACCCAGATATCCTGCTATTGTGCAGGTTTGGGTTCTTAAATCGAAACATATGCAGATCCTAACAGCTGGTGCTTTATTTGGTTTCAAAACAGTGTTGCATTAAAGGGAATATTTTTCTCTATGGCAAAACTGTGATTTCCTGGAAGGAAGGAATGATAAGTCTTTTTGTTACTGTATAATACTGACAATCTGTGACAGTGGCAAATAATTATATGTATGATTGGAAGCCAAAAAAGCATAGTTTTTGAAGGGAGTTTAAAGCAAAGATTGGGTGAGACATAACTGTTTTGGGCATTTTAAATTTACTTTGTAAATCTCAAATCAAAAATGGGCTGCATCTATCTTCAGTAGTTTACACTGTTATAAAACGTATTGGATCCCTTTGATCTTTTTCTCCGTCACAGTACTGTTTACTTCCAGTTTGTGTCATTATACAATATTAGACAAGAAGAAAAAAGGTTGTGATATTATTTTATTGGCTATCTAGCTTATCACTGTTTGCATGAAGTGGTTTATGCCAACCATTACCAAATGAGGTAATAGATATCGATAGAGCTTACTAACAGATAATCTTTTGTAAGTTTTACTCTGCACAACACCTCTATGGCACACGTAGTCCTGGCTCCTCACTCTGCTCTCAGTGTTCATTGCTAGTGTAGAATGGTGATTTCTGTGTAGATTTCTCCATATTTAGTGTATAATTATTTTTTAAAAAGCCTAAATATATTTTATTTATTCAGTCAAGACTTTTTGATTTTTTTTTATTCAAAACTTCTGGTATTTAATAATGACATGTGCCTTTTGTTGCAAGGTTCCAAGAGCCTTTGGAAGTAAAACAGGCCCACAGCAATATAGGTTCTCTACTGTGGTTTACAGTGAGTAGGGGAGGCTTTTACAGCTTTAGCCTCATCTGACCAAAGAACATTAGTCCAGCTAAAGTCCTGGTAGCATTTAGCAAGTTCCACCTGTCCATGTTTATAATGCTTGCTTTCCTCCCAAAAAGTTGGTTTGCAGGTTGTTTAAAAAAACTCTGGAAGAAAATAACCTTTGTCTTCTTTATTGGTGACTCTAAAAACTCTCATATAATCAACATACCCAGTGCTTTATTTTAATTACTTCTTTAATAAAATCTGCTCAACATATAGATATTTATGAACCCATTTGTTGCTGCCAAGGAATGTGTATAATTACAAGAATATTGTCCAAGCTTTATCTTTAGTTTCTTTTTTATTTAGACCTTGGTTATTACGTGCATTTGAGGTTGTCTAGATTTAATGACTCAGATCCCTGCTCCAGAGTGGCGCCATTGCTTTGTAGTCATAATTTAGTTGACCTGGTTTTCCCTATTATTTTTTGTTCACTGGTCGACCTTGATCAACTGAGTTTTGCCCTGATGATGTTCAAACGGCTGTGGCTGCTCTGCTGTATCAGAGACAGCTGGGCTGATTTCACAGGGAATTATTTTACCTCTGCTTCATGCTCAGCTGATGCCTAGGTTGGAGGAAGTAGGAGCGTGGCAGAGCCAGCAGAAAGAGTGGTCAGAATGTGGATTTGAGGAACGTTCTGCTCACTTAGAAAGTCTGTTCAGCAGATTACTTCATGGATCTCTGAAACTAAGAAAAATGGAGGAAGTTGTGTTGGGGCCTAATAAGGAAATTCAACATGTTTCATGCCACAAGGCTTGAATTGCAGCACTTATAAATATTACAGTGATATAAATCATGGTTTAAGAAACTGATTTCCTTTGCAAAATATAGTATCTATCAAACGTGTTCTAGCCTTTTGAAGCTTTATTAAATGTATTAATGGGGATTTTATTTTCTAGAACAGGGTCAACCAATTAAAAATCAGCGGGGTCCGAATAAAGAAAATCATCAGCCAGTAAAGGTCCGGAGACATTTTTAATCATAATCTGTCACTTTAAACAGAATTTAACACTGAAATAAAATGAGGTTTTTATGCATCAAAATTCTACATTGAATTTTTAAATAAAAAAAGTAAAAAAAAGAAAATTTTTCCATTATAAATGTAAAGTTTTTCTTTTTTTAAGTAGAGAATAACAATAGTTTACTTTGTTATATAGACAATTTCCTAAATTGATTGAAACAATTAATCGGATTAATCGATTATTGAAATAATGGTAAACTAATTTAG